GCCGGGGATTGTTGTGGGTTGTCATTGTAATTTCGTGTTGGAAAGAAGCGTTTGTTTGTCTTTTCGTTCTGATTGGTATGTTGGAATTTTGCTTTTGTTGTTGTTAGTTTTCAGGACGGTGGTGAGTGTGATGTTCTGACATGTCAGCGATAAGGTAACCGCTGAGCAACTGAAACTGGAGGCGGTACAGCAAGGCCCCAATGCACGGGCGTGGCTTCGTCGCAAATTGAACACTTTCTCGGCCAAGGTAGCCAAGGATTCAGTGGACGGCCGAAGCCCGCTGGCGGCGCTGGGTGCTGAAGTCGGTGTGGAAGACTGTCTGTCTAAGAAGGCGCTGATCGAGCGCATGATCGCCGTCTTGCTGCCAGAAGAATCATTGGACAGCAGCGCCGCGGTGCAGCGGCATGCTTGGCGATTGCTTCGGTCCTGTCTTGGAAGACAAGCAGCAGGCGAGCAAATCGATGCCGATTTCTTGAGCACAGAGGTAGTCGACGCAGATCTTCGGCTGAAACTTCTTGCATGGTGTTTGTGCATTCCGATGGACACTCTGGTGGGACGTCACTATAGCTCTCAGCAGACATTGCTGGAATTGATTCGTAGTCTTGGTTGCATTATGACACACTTCAATTCCGTTTCGGACGTTTGGGCCACACTGGATGTTGACTTGCAAAAACTTGATGCTGATGCTGCATTGCAGCGCTTTCCCAACCTTGAACGCGAGCACGTCATCGCTTTGCTGGCTTGCGTGTTGCACGAGAACCCAGTGAAAGCTCAAGGACGGCGGTAGTTTGATCAAACAGCTGAAGGTTCAGTCTGTTGAAGGTTGTTTTTGCTTAGCACGAGAACATGGAGTTGTTATTTGTTGTTTCCTTGACAGGTTTGTTTTGTCTAACGTTTGCTTTCATCAATGTTTTTGGTTGGGTTGCAGGATGGAAACAGTTGTTGGATTTTGCGGATTCCGTCGATATGTTTGATGTTGCTGAACGTCTTTGGGATCTGCAGACAGTGCGGATGGAACGGCAGTGGAATGAACCAACAGGCTTCGAAGATCAAGAGGACGTTTTAGAGGCGAGGGTGCATGACAGCATGACTCTTTATAGGTAGGGTACCTGTTTATTTTCTTCATTTTTCGTCGGAGTGTTTTGGTACAATGCTTTCAACCGAATGTTTTGTCTCGTGTAGTACGATCCGTTTGCGAGGCCGTTCTACAAATTCTGCATGGCCGTAGGGCCACAGTGGAGACGGATGGCAAGTCTCGGAAGCGCAAGGGTGCTTTGGATGATGCCGACAAGGCCTTTCTACGTGGTCTCATGCGAAGGTATGGCTTGGAACTGATAGATCATCCGGAAAAGCCGTGTCTGTGGCAGGAAGTGTTCACCAAAGCAGATTTTCTGCAGACACTGTGGTTCGTCATACAGCGACTTCTGCATCCACGTGCATCTGGCGAGTTGACGGCTCTGCGTTGCCTCCATCAACCTGATCGCATTGCTGCACTTAGAGCTTCCAGGAGTCGGGGCGTTGAATGTAGAGGGGTAAATTGTTTGGTATGGTCGTACATTCTTTAGTTTTTGGACGTCAGTATCGTTGTTGGTTGTCGATTGGGTAAAAGGCTTTACATCATAACCCTTGAGCCTTGCGAAGGAATGGCGTCCATGCCGATGTGTTGTCCCTGCATCAAGAGTTGCTGGAGTGGCAAATGGACACGGGGACGAGTAGACTGCCGAATGAATCTGAAGACAGGCCTTTGTCTTCGAAGATTGACAGCTACAAGGAGAAGGACAGAAGGAATCGCATCTCAAGCATGAAGAAGGCTTATCCTCCTGATTTTGAACCTTTAGAGCAGTTGTCCTTGGACTGTCTTACTGGAGCAGGTGACTCATCGACAGGTGTGCAGTGGCGTTCTGAGTTTGAAGAGCAACTTATGCTTTCTGTACCTGGCTGGACAGAGGATGCAAAGAAAAGTCGCACTTTTCATACATTGCAAGAAGTCCTCCAATGCGGCGATGTGTTTCTTCAACAATGTTTTGCGACGCTGCAATCTTATGGATTGTCTCTTCAGCGCAAATTGAGCGTTCTTGCTGCCAAGTTGCAATGCACTCCTAGCATACCAGGTGTGGCGGAAGCTATGTCCACTCGATTACTCTCAACTCCACAGGACACAGAGGAGATGGAGCTCAACAGATATGTTTGTCGGTTGTGCGACTTTCAATGTGCAGACAAGGAAGTCTTGCAAGAGCACATCAAGGACGCTCATTCGAATGACACTGAGGTTGCAAGAGCATGGGTGGAATATCGCAAGAAAGTGGTTGGATTATTGCATCATGCAGGACCTTCGGTGTCCTGGCGTTTGTTAGTGTCATTTTACTTGCTTAGGCAATTCTTGTGCATTCGATGTTCTGTGATCTATTTGGTCATCATGGAAAATGTTGTTTTTTGAGTCCCTGATTTTTT